CTGGCCATCCCATCTTGTGCACTGGCTAATTACCAGGCCTATTCACACATAGCATCTCCACAGATGCAATCATTCCGGAGCTAGAAACAAAGCTACTCAGCATTAGGACAGAGAACCCACTTGGTTAATCCAAAGGAAGGAACGAACCCCAAATCCAAGAGGACTGTCTCCTTAGAGGAGGAGATGGCAATTTGTTGTTTAAGTTGGGTACACATTTTACTTTAGTTCATCGCACATGTATATATTTTCTTCTACAAGAACTCTCCTTAGAGTTGACATTCAGGGTTTATTTTACCAAACCAACTTGTTGCAACCCTCTAGTCTCTATAGCAAAGTTGTTCTCATCTTACAAATATTAAGCCAGGAGTCTTAGCAAACTGACATTGTGGTGAAATCAAGGCACAGTGCCTATTTGTGAAGCCACCATTGTGGTGCAGCAGTTAAGTCAGCACTTGGTACTGGCATCCCAGGTGAGTGAACGCCAGATTGAGACTTGGTTGTTTTACTTCTATCTTACCTGAAGAGCATTCAATGGCCCAAATATTTACATTTCTGTCACCCCCTTGGGAGATAGAGATGAAGCTCGTGGCTCCTGGCTTTAGCCCCAACCATTTTGGCTGCTTGGGTAGCAAACCAGTGGGTAGAACATATACCTCTCCAGGGAATGCTACCTTTCAAATGAATATATCCGCACCTGATAAAAGGCGTGACACTAGTTTGACATGACTGGTTCCTAAGTGTCCAGGTTAGTGGCCCACGATTTCCCCTAAGGGCTCACAACATTATCCAGTACTTTCAAGCACCACTGTTAAGCTTCCCAAACACTCTACTTACTTCCCCAATCTTGTGGTGCCTCTTATTTCTTACACTTTTTAATTACTGACATAACTGCACTGAGGGACACAAGGGGTCATTAGTTTTCATGGCAAAATGTGTACCGACAAAAGAAAAGTTCCAAACAATGAAAAGGGCTTTCACTATATATAAATTTTAAACACTTTTTGCAGGATCTGGCACTGTGGGCAAAGTGGGTTAAGCAGCCACTTGGGACACCCGCACTCCATACCAAAGTGCTAGTTAGAGTCCCAGCTGCTCTGTTACTGATCTAGTGTCCTGCTATTGTGTCTGGGGAAGCAGCAGATGACCCAAGCACTTGGGGCCGGATATCCCTATAGGAGATTCAGATGGCATGCTTGGCTCCTAGTTTTGGCCTGGTTGTTGTGGCCATTTGGGGAGTGATCCAGCAGATGGTAAGTATCTCTCCTACTCAAGTTCTTTCTCTATGCCATTCTATCAAACAAATAAAAAATTAAATCACTAAAAATAGTTTGCAACAAAATGAACATCTTTTACTGTTACTTTCCCAGGAGAAGCACTTACAGGAGTTCAAGGAATTTAAGGAACACGTCATATAGGAAATGATTCAAATGAAAGCTGTTATCAGAAATTAAGAATACAGTGGAGCAAATGAAAAGTACAGTGGAGAGTCTCTCTAAAATAGAATGAATGAAGCAGAAGAAAGAACCTCAGAATTGGAAGGTATTTCCTGTTACCAAGGGGAAACAAACAAAAAGCAGGAAGTAGCACTAGATCAGGCCAAAACAGTATTCAAGAATTGAAGGACACTATTAAGGCAACATTTAAGAGTTATAAGAGTCCCAGAAGGTACAGAAACAGAAGCTTGGATTAAAGGTGTACTCAATGAAATAATAAGGGAAAATTTCCCTAATCTAGAGAAAGAATTGGAAAACAACATCCAGGAGTGGCAGACTCCAACAAGCTTGACCAAAAGTGATCTTCACTAAGACACATGATAATCAAGCTCTCTTCAATTGAACATAAGGAAAAAATCCTTCAATGTGCACATGAAAAAAATCAACTGACATATAAAGGGAAGCCAGTTAAATTCATAGGAGACCTCTCACAGAAAATTCTACAGGCCAGAAGAGAATGGAGCGACATATTCCAGATTCTAAAAGAAAAAACTTGTCAGCCCAGGATAACGTGCCCAGCAAAGTTCTCCTTTGCCTTTGAAAATGAAATAAAATTCTTCCACAGAAAAGTTAAAAGAATTTACCTCTTTCAAACCTGACCTACAAATGATACTTCAAGATGCTCTCTTGACAGAAAACAGGAATAGCGTCCACCAAAACCAAAGGTATATGTGAAGAACATCCCAGTAAAATAACAATAAAAGTCTAAATCAATGAACAACCCACTGCTGAAATGACAGGACCAAATTACCACCCATTCCTATTAACCCCGAATGTGAATGGGTTAAACTCATCAATAAAATGTCATAGATACAAAGACTAGATTAAAAAAACAAACCCATGTATTTGTTACCTACAGGAGACGTGCCTCACCAACAAAGATCAGTGGAAGCTATATCTCACGGATTTAACTTTTTTTAACATTTAGTTTCATCTCTTCAAAACATTTTCTTTCTCATTAAATTCTTCACTGACTCATAGATCATATAGCAACATCATTTTCTTCAAGAAGGTTCTTGACTTTTTTTCATTTCTTCAGTGTCAGTAGCATGTTATTTAACTTCATGGCACTTTAATTCCTTCTTCCTGTTGTTGTTGATTTTGCTTTATGGCTTTAAGGGGATGTACAGTAACTGTGTGATGGAGACTATCACATCCAGTATCATGTTGTTTAACTTCATGGCATTGTGAATTTTTATTTCTCTTGCTGTTGTTGATTCGATATTAGGCTTTTCATTTAAGGGGATGTATAGTAACTGTGTAATGGAGACTATCATATCCAGATGTGAGGATACAAGGTATTATGCCTCTCTACTTCCAGTGCAAGGATGGACTCCCAACAAAATTGTTAACTATATCTTGGCAACAGAATGCTGTACTGTTTGCCACTGTCCATGCCTGCAATGATGGACATATGCCGGTTTATGAAGAACTACACTATAGTAATAACACAGGTGAACTCAGTAGTGGTGGTGGGGAACTTGGGCAAGGAGTAAGATAAATCCCAGGGCCTATGAAACTACATAATAAAATGAAAAAATAATTTAAAAAATAAGATATCTGTTTTATGCTTAAATATTATTTACTCCATATTATCTACCATATATGAAAGAAATATCATATTTGTATTTTTGAGACTGTCTTACTGCACTAAACACAATGGTCTCCAGTGGTATATTTTTGCAGCAAAATAAAGAACTTCACTCATTAAAAAACCCCCAGCAGCTAGGATTAGACATCCCTGATCTTAGCTGAGATAGTAAAAGACCTTTTCAACTGTTTTGAGTTTCTTTTCCCTCAAAGCTCTGTTCACCTCCTTTTAACATTTGACACCATCTTCTTGCTGTTTACCCTTTGCGTGGTCCAACTTCCAAGCTTGGCATGCATCTCTATACGTTCATCTCCACAACTGCAACGTCTCAGTGTTCAGGAACTACCCTGAGTTTCAGTCCCACTTTGCATTTCTGAAAATTTGAAGTCAGTTTCACTTGTGTCTTTACATCACTCTTCTGGAACTAGACTTTCTATAAGTTAGATTTTTAGAGACTAGACTTCTAAAGTTCTAAGTCATGAAGTCATGACTTTGAGTAAATTTTTACTTTCCAAGCTTCAAATGCCAGCAAGATACAAGGCTCTCATTAACTGATCAGGATTCCATAGGAAGTGCTGGGCAGCCTGTGGTGGCTGAGTAAGGCTATGTAGTCCAGGGACAGTGCTTATGAATACGTAAGTCGGATGATATAGGGGTCACTGCTGTAACATACTAGGCTAAGCCTCAATGCCAGCATCCCATATGGGCAACAGTTTCATTTCTGGCCACTCCACTTCCCACCTAGCTCCCTGTTTATAGCTTAGGACAACAGAAAGAATGGCTCAATTCCTTGGGCCACTACACCCATGTGGGAGCCTTGGAAGAAGCTCCTAGCTTCAGACTGGCTCAGCTCTGGCTGCTGCTGCCATCTGGGGAGCAAACCAGTAGGCAGAAGATCTCTTGTCTCTCCTTCATTCTGTAACTCTGCCTCTCAAATAAAAATAAATCTTTTTTTTTTAAAGATTTATTTATTTATTGGGAAGTCAGATATACAAAGAGGAGGAGAGACAGAGAGGAAGATCTTCCGTCCGATGATTCACTCCCCAAGTGACCTCAACGGCCGATGCTATGCCGATCCAAAGCCAGGATCCAGGAACTTCTGGGTATCCCACACGGGTGCAGGGTCCCAAAGCCTTGGGCCGTCCTTGACTGCTTTCCCAGGCCACAAGCAGGGAGCTGGATGGGAAGTGGAGCTGGATGAGATTAGAACCGGCGCCTATATGGGATCCTGGTGCTCTCAAGGCGAGGACTTTAGCCACTAGGCCATGGTGCCGGGTCCCTAAAAATAAATCTTTACAAAACCAAAGTCTGTGCAAGGTAATTGTTGAACACAGATAAATATAAATTATTACATGCAATTTAAATATGAAAACATAGTTAGGTTGTTTCCTTTCAAAAATGTGAGACCTGGGCCCAACACGGTAGCCTAACAGCTTAAGTCCTTGCCTTGAACCCAACGGGATCCCATAGGGACTCTGGTTCTAATCCTGCCTGCCCTGCTTCCCATCCAGCTAGCTCCCTGCTTGTTGCCTGGGAAAGCAGTAGAGGATGGCCCAAAGCCTTGGGACCCTGCACCCATGTGGGAGACCCAGAAGAGGCTCTGGGTGCCTGACTTCATTTGGCTCAGCTCCAGCCGTTGCAGTCCCTTGGGGAGTGAATCATCAGACAAAAGATCTTCCTCTCTGTTTTTCTTCTTCCTCTCTGTATATCTGACTTTCCAATAAAAATAAATCTCTTTTAAAAATGAGAGAAACTAAGAACAAAATTTCCAAAACTGTGTTATGTTAAGAGGCTGCCCCACTTACAGATTTTTTTCATCCACTCTGTTACCTGAAATTGACCACAATAAAGAGCAAAATCATCACATCTCTTTGGGTCACAAAACAAAAGAGTTAATACACTTTACACCTGAACTGACCATGAAAAGTTTGTTTTATTCCATGAAAATATTCTCAACAGAGAACACTACCTTAAACAAAGCATTTACCATTAAGAAATCAACATGTGCACAAAGAGTAAAAATTACTGAAAAATTAAAGATTTCTTCTGGACGACCACATGTTCAAAATTTAAGAATGATTTAGGAATGATTTAAACTGTACAAGTACAAATGTCTTTGCTATTGTAATCACCCATTTACAGGTTGCACTATTCCATGTAAAGGAACTTGCCTCCTACGGAAGCAAATCCTGCTTTTAGAAAAACAAACAGTAGCTTGAAAAGAACAGTTAGTCCTTACAAGAAAGCCTTAAACTTTGCCCTCTGTGGCTGTTAGCCAAAAAACATAAGCACTTGAGGCTTTGCACAGAAGACAAACACAGCCAGATCACATTTCCTCTTCATCGCTAACCTTTAAAATAAAAATAGCACTAGATTTTAAAACTACTACATATAGTCTGTCAGTATCGAATAAAATGTCATATTATATAAATAACCCTGTAACAAGATTCAGCATCTAAACTTTATAGTTCACTAGCCTCAAAGGTAACACACTGCACGTCAGCTGTGTAACAGTGGTGGATCTGATCTTACAAAGGCATTAACTTCCACACAATTGTCATTCAGCTTTAGTAGAGCTGGTAGCATGATTCAAATAACACTGGGAGGAAAATTATTAAAGCAGTCACACAGCGTCTAAAATATTGCTTAAAATCCAGTAATACACAGACCATTTTACATTTTCTCCCCTCAGACAGCAAAGAATCAAATTAATGATGCTTCAATGGTACAAATACCCCCCTCCCGCCCCTACCCATCTTCCTATTACAACAGCACTAAGAAATCAATTAAGATACAAGTCCTTAACAGAACCACAGATGTGAGGCAGGACAACATGAGCAAGAAGGGCACTAAGGACAATTATATTTACAAGTATGAACATCCAGAAACTCCCAGTTTATAAGTAAAAGTGCACAGAGATCATTACAAAGGTTCACTAAATTTACCTGGTTTGAGTTGAACAAAAGCATCACTTGGAAACAGACTACCATTATAATAATCAAATGATATCATCATAACCCCAAATTAAAAGACAATGGCAGGAAATCCATAAAACTTGTCATAAAAACACCAAGAAAAATGGACTGGGACTTGTCTTTAGTTTGACGCACCAATGTGGAGCTGCACCATGGTGCACGGTGGGGCTCTAAGAGCCACCTACCGAGGCTACATCGTCGGCAGCTGCAGCAGGGCACAGCTGCTGTGAAAGGAGGTCGCACTGAGCTGACACTTAAAGCCCTTTGTGGGATACTGTAGTGGTGGTGTTGGCAACGAACAGATTGAGGCACTCGAGTTTAAGGCAGCATTCGAATGGAAGCAGCTGACCTTTGACAACAGTCCTTTATCGTGAAGTGGTGAGGATCTTCACTGTTTACTATGCCAGGAGTTCACTGCTGACTACCAGTCCTCCCAGGCTGAGGGGCTGAAGATGTATTAGGTTTCAAAGAGGTCCTTCAATTTGGCTGTAGGCTAGAGCAGAGATGTTTTCTTTTTCTTGTCATAAAAACTTCAAGTTCACAACTACTTCTTCATAATACCAGAATTGGAATGTTTGCAGTGGGGAAGTTGTAGCAGCACACATACAAACACTAGGATGGAATCATTAGTGCTAGAGATGTCTGACAAGGCGATTCGAACCACAAATGTAAAACAAAACAAACGCTTTGACAAGAACGAGGGATTATAAAGACATGCCTGAAAACTGGAGCCAATCACTTTAGACATGCAACAGGATGTTAAGCAAGCACGGAGTAGCGCAGGCAGACGTTGACACACACAAGGATTCTAACAGATAATGGGTCTAAAAGTCAATTAGAACAGAACTAGGATGGAGCAGGTCCTGCACAGACAGCTAAAGTAAACCAAACTTTATGGCAGCTCTGTACTTCTTCTGGTTTGGATGTAAGTAAAATAAATGGGAAAGGGGCAGCCACTATTGGCATTTTCCTTCTGTGTGAATAACTGCGAATTAGGAACTTAACGACTGGTTATTATAATGATTTTTTAAACAATGTATGGAAATGCTAATGAAGTTAGTAAAAAATAATCATGTCTGCATGCACTCATGCAACTTGCTTCTCTCACTCTTCCTCTGAGCCTGACCACTCTACTACCCTCCCCCCAAGCAGCTGCATGTAACCTCCTTCAACATCTCGCCCATTTCCTCAGAAACCCTCTTCAGGAACCTGCAGTCCAGGAGGAAAAAGAAAAGAACAATTACTGAAGACCTTTGGAAAGACAAAAAGGGGTGCCCCAAATGACCTCTAAAGTCAGTTTACAGATAGTTACTGAGAATCCCCAGAAAAAAACATGAAACATAAACTAAATCAAAAACCAATCTAACTGCTTCCTCATTCTGCTTTGCTGCCCAATACAGGCAGGGTAAGACCACACAATCCTTAACTGTGCGGTTTCCAACAAATGTTTGTTGAAATTAGTAGGGAAAAGACAATCTAACCTATTAAATTAAGATAAGAAAATGCCCTGAATGGTTGTGTAGATATCATCCTTCGATTCAGTTACTTTAAAGTCATCTCTTTGTTATAGGTAAAATTTGCCAATACTTCCCCTGTATTCTAGATTTCCTCTGTCTTCACAGATCCAAATTTATTTTCCTACCCATAGCAACTAACTGTCAGACCAATCTCAGTCAAAAAGTGATTGTTATTGTTAAATAAACACAAAAGTGATGCTTCCCAAAAGAAGTTTCCAAGATGAAACGGTAAGTGCAGGTAACTTTTGAAGGAAGCTCAGACATTGCTGAACATTACCACACACCCGAAAAGGTCAGGTCTCCAAAGAAAGCGGTTTTATGTGCCTGAGAGCTAGACCAGGTTAACTTACAGATCTCTCAATTAGTCTACCAATAGGTTATGTGCCAGATGCCTATTTCCTTCCTTGAGGAAACCAAAAAATAGGAAAAATGATCAGATTATTATTTTACCTAATTATACTTTTTTCTTAGAAATTGAAGCTATAAATTCAAACTTCCAGGACAAACCACTCTTTTGGGATTCAGTTTCCTACAATATTTCAGAGTGGTTTCACTTATCTGAATTTGCTTCAGTTACTATGTTTTCTGAACTAGAGGGGACAAAGAGTGGGGAGAGCATTTTTCTACCTATAGATTCCTGCCCGATAAATCAAGTTCTATAGTTCAAAAGGCAGAAAAACACATATACTTCACAAAGACTTAAGCAAATCAAAAAGCAAAAGCCATCAATTAAGCTTCACATCAGCATTACTCCAATGGGAAAGCACCACAAAAACTTTCTTGTGGTAACACATTTCTAAAATCAAGCCTACACTGAGCTCACACAGTGAACAATAAATCTGGACACCCTTTTCATTTTCTTATTTTTCCCAACTTCTTGAAGATGTTTTCATTTTATGTGATCATCACTATGTCATACATGGCACAAGCTGGCTGGTTAGCTTAGATATAAGTTACTGCACCTTTACTGTTTTTCTCTAGAGTTACATCTATGTATGACGTGGGAACGTAGCCTTCTTCACCGTTCTGTCTCCTGGCTCTTGTCCAGCCGTCACCTTTGTCCTCCTCAATGATGTACAGAACTTCACCTTCTTTCATCGCCAGAGTGCCTTCATTATGCCCTAGGTGAGAATTTTCATAGCATAAGCATAATTTAAGCACAGTGAAACTTTTAGTACAAGTTACAAACACAATACACAAACATGAAATCCTGTAATCAAAGAGTGACGGTCTTATTGGCAAGAATATCTGTATAATATTTTCCCGATTCTTTACACACATTTTCACTTCTTTGAGCTGCACAGTCTGTGGGCTGGATTGCTATCACCTCCAGTACCAGCTGAGTAAACTGAGTCACAGAGATAATGTGTGACTTGACAAGGTACTTTATTCCATTATTCCCAACTCCTTTCCCAAATTCAAGCAATACTGCTATCTTAAAGACTCAAGTGAGGACCTGGCACAATGGTCTAGTGGCCGGATCTTTGCCTTGCATGTGCTGGGATCTCAAATGGGTGTCAGTTCATCCATCCAGCTCCCTGCCAGTGGCCTGGGAAAACAGCAGAGGACAGCCCAAGGTCTTGGCACCCTGCACTTGTGTAGGAGACCCAGAAGAGGCTCCTGGCTCCTTATTGGTTTGGCTCTACTGCGGCCGCTTGGGGAGTAGGCCAGCAGATGGAAGATCTTTGTATCTTTCCTTCTCTCTGGGGGGTCTGCCTTTCCAATGAAAATCAGTAACCTTAAAAAAAATAAGACAAAACAAACGAGCAAAACAACTCAAGAGAGGTGAGCATTGTAACTCATAAGAGTGCCTGGGACTAAATCCCACCTACACTTACAATTCAGCATCCTGCCAACGTACTGGAGAGGCACCAAACGATGGCTCAAGTCCTTAGGTTCCTGCTACCCACATGGGACACCTGGATGGAGTTCCTGGTTCAGGCCTGGCCCAGGACTGGCTGGTGTAGGCATTTGGGGAATAAATAGATGGATGGCAGATCCTCCCCCAAACTGCCTCTGTTTCTCCCTTTCTGTTACTCTAACTTCCAAAAATGTAACTAAATCGAAATAAATAATTAGAAGGGCAAAAAGATTTCTCTCAAAAAAAAAAAAATGCAGATACACAGAGCAGGGAAATAGTTAACAATATAGTAAATGGCAGAAAGAACAAATCTTGAAGAAAAAAAAACCAGAAAAAACTCCAGTTCAATTTTGATGATGGTAGAAGCAGAAGGGCCATAAAGTGTAACTGTCTTCACGACTACATTAACCTCCAGACTCCCTTTCTTCCAGGCCCAACTACTCCCAACTTACTTAACAGCAACAACTCTTATAACAACTCTCATAACAGAATCCTCACTTAAAAGTATGCTAGATTCCTTCCATACTCTCTAGATCACATCATAGCTATCATATTTTATAATTACAATATAGTACCTCCTCAGAATGAGGAATAACCAATATATTTTATAACCAATACAATAGTGGGTAGACAAAGACCCTAAATCAGATACCATTGTATAAATTTACTTAACAAGGTGCTACTTCACTCTCAATAGTAGTTGAGGAAAGGGCTGAGTCCAGAAGAGCAGAGGGTAATGAAAAATCCGAAGAGGTCACAATGCCTTACTCTCCCTCCTAGAGTTTCCTTTCCAGGCATCACAAGGATGGCACAGTCCTAAGCTACCATTTTCTCTCACTCTCATTTGAAAAGGGTGATCTAGAGAGTCAGGAAATGATGTTGGCATTCAGCTATTCACTATAGCTGTTTTTCAGTGTTTAAGCCATAGGAAGAGCACGAAGTGATACCAACCAGCTACTTCCTTCCCACATTTGGCTATAAGTTCATACTGCTTCAAGTTTGTTGTGAATACATAAGCATTAGTAGATCACAGGTGAAAATTATTATCAACCTAACTTAAGTAATAATCTATATCAGGATACTTATTAACATAATTTTGCTTCAGTTCCATATATAGAAGGGAAAAAAAATCTTTATTTATAGAAATCAAAGGAAAGTATTCCTACTAATGAAGTGCGATTATGATTTTCTGACAATGTATTATTTAGCAAAGGCCCCTAAAGTGATTCAGTGTGCTTTATACTTCAATGAACCTGTTTTATCAAATACAGTGTACTAAGAAAATCATATGATTAGGGCCCAGTGCAATGGCCCTAATCAAACAGCTAAATCCTCACCTTGCAAGCACTGGGATCCCATATGGGTACTGATTCATGTCTAAGCTGCTCTACTTTCCATCCAGATCCCTGCTTATGGACTGGGAAAGTAGTAGAGGATAGCTCAAAGCTTTGGGACCCTGTACCCACGTGGGAGAATTGGAAGAGATCCCTGTCTGCTGGTTTTAGAGCAGCTCAACTCCAGCTCTTGTGGCTGCTTGGGGTGTGAACCAGGGGATGGAAGATTTTTCTCTCTGTCTCTCCTCTCCATAAATCTGATTTGCCTTTCCAATACAAATAAATAAATCTTAAAAAAAAAATCATACCATCAAAAGGGTAGATAGCTTTGCAGTGCCCAATAGCAGGCAAGGGATCATCATCCTCAAATTCATCATCAAACTCGCTGTGGTGACCATGTTGCTGGGGTGGTCCACGGACTTCTTGGTTTGCATCATCAGTGTAACTTCCTTCAGGACTACAAAACACAAAATTATGTTCCATCAAATGTCACAACATGGGAACTCTATATGTTAATGATTTCAGAATCAGTACAGAAATTAAATATCAATAACACAGCTCCAAATTAAGTCCTGTTGTCTTAAAATGTTGACTATATAAATTGCTTCTAATACAAAATGTTTGTTCAATGTCCTGAAACACAAAAACATTAGAAAATATAGTACTCAGTATTTATCTCACTATAACTGGGTCTACAAATAGAAATGGAAAAAAAAAATGTACTGCAAACTTGTCTTTCATCATTTCAGACTGACTACCTCTGCTTTTTGGGTATCTCCCCAGACCCACAGGTTTCAAGTAAAGGCCTTTCCGTTCCGCATGCACAGTGGGTAGAACAGTTCCTGCGCAGTCCTGTCACCGGGATCACAGGGACTTCCAGTGGGACTGCTGGAGGAGCAGCTCCCTCGCTTTTCTCACTGAGCTTCAAGGACACTTAAAGATCGGGAAGATCACCACAAACTCAGCCAACAAAGCAGAGAGCAAAGCTGCAGAGTGGAAAGAAGCTGAGTCCTAAGGATGCTTTCTGAGCTCTAGGATCAAGCTTTCCTTAAGGCAAACTATTACGCCCATTTTTACTTTAAGACAATATGGGTAAAGTATTCACTCTGTCACTGAACACCAAAAGACTTCTATAACTAAAACAAAAAATAAAGTAACTTCTACTTAAACATAATAACAAGAAACCTAGGAGCAACTCAGAAAATCCCAAAGAGCTGGTAATACAAAGGCATTTTCTTTTTCTTAAAGATATTTTAAATCTAGAGCTGGTGTGGTAGCATATCAAGCTCATCTACCCACAGCAGCAGTAGTCCATGTGGGTGTTGGCTTGTGTCTTGACAGCTCAACTTCCCATCCAGACTCCTGCTTGTGGCCTAAAAGCAGTGGAGAATAGTTCAAGTTCTTGGGCCCCTGTGTCCACAGAGAAAACCAAAGGAAGCTCCTGGTTTCGGATCAACTCATCTACAGCCGTATCAGCTGTTTAAAGAGCGAATCAGTAGTTGGAAGATATCTTTCTCTGATTTTTAAGCAAAATAAACAAACTACAAAAAAGAGTTTTAAATCAGAGCTGATATTGTGGCACAGCACATTAAGTTGCCACCTGCAATGCTGGCATTCTGAATGGGCTTGGAAATTGAGTCCTGGTTGCTCCACTTCCAATCCACTTCCTTGTTAATATTCTTGGGAAGGCATCAGAAGATGGCCCTACACCAAGGACTACATCCCAACTGCCAAAGAGACCACGGGGAATTGGAGTGCCTTAGGAGGCCAAGAACTCTGAGGTCATCCACCTCTGTTTGAATCTACCACATGGGATGGAAGAAGCCCAAATCCTTCCTCGCAGGATCCAAGGTTATCAGAACAACAGCCAGGAACCCTGAGTGGTCCGCAGAAACAGAATAGTAAACTTCCTTCGGGACTAGAGAGAGGAGCTTTCTCTGGTCCTTAGTTTCAACTTTGGATCCCCACCCTCTCTTGCAATGACCATCAGTACCTCTCTGGAGCCTCCCCACAAAACACACACAAATCAGAATATATAGAGAACAAGAAAAACTTAGAACCAGACAGGAAACGGTCAGCATGGACTCACACATACCTTACTAGGTAGGACACAAAGATTAGTTACTCCTCACTAAGGTATTGAAGATTTCTCTGCACACCCCTCCTAAAACTGTTCTGCACTTCAATTGTTGACATATGCCTTGTTAGAGTTATAAGCCAGTTTAGACTATCCTAAAATCTGCCAAGTTCAGCAAAAGTATCCTTCAACACTATTAACTGCTAAATACTAAAATGAAAATAGACACGAGACAGCTGAATAGTACCCTATAGCCATTTTAAGATGTATAGCAGCCAGTTGTGTATAAACTAAAATTGAAATGTCAATAAAGTAATCACAGGATGTGGTTGAGAACTTGCATTTTTAAAAACATATTGGTTACTCAATACCAGTCAATTAATTCCAGAATGTTGTAAATTGTTGTTGATTTGTTATGTTGTGGCTTTTAATTGATCTGGATGATATTCTGCCAGCTCTGCCTTCAGACCAGAGATGGTCTCCCCAAGAAACAGTTGAATTTAATTTAATTTGGACAATAAGATGCTGGACTCTGTGCTTGGTATACGCTTGCAATGAAAGAATCTTGACTGAATTTGAACTGTAATACAGCAACAAGGTGGAGGAATCCACCATAAAGGTAGGGTACGGGGAGGGGATGGGGGAATCCCAGAGCCTATAAAATTGTATCACATAATGTAATGTAATTAATAATAATAAAATATATATATATATTATATTAAAAAAAAAAAGATGGCCCTAGTACTGCCATCCATGTTGGAGACCCGGCTGAAGCTCCTGACTCCTGGCTTCATCCTGGCCTAGTCCCAGCCACCACAGCTTTATGGAGAGTGAACTAGCATACAGATCTTTGTCTCTCCTTCTCATTCTCTAACTCAACTGCACATTTAAATAAATAAAGCTTTTAAAAGAAACAAGTAGTAAAAATTTCAAAAACAAAATGTTTCAAATCGAAGTGGAAACCTATTAATTTTGTTGAGGAATCAAATGACTGAACAGAATTTTAACTTTAGAAAAACGGGATTAAATTTGAAAGAATTTTCACTACGTCTGAAAGCAAAGTTCTTAATTAATACACATCAGAGAGATTAGATGCTTTTTCTCTCAGTTTTTTCCTAATAACAAAAGCCATTATTTGTGAGTACTCCACGATATACTGAAGGTGAACACTTTTTCAAGAAAGGTCTGGGGATAAAAACAGCACAGTGAAGGACTAACACTTGTGACATGCATACTACTACCAGTTATTCTTTTACAAGGAACTTATGCCTGCTATTTCCTTTTTGACTAAAGACCCCATATGTATTTTAACTTCTGTTTCACATTTCAGGAAACTGAGGCCGAAGAAATATTTTTAAAAGAGAACAACTTGCTCAAATTATATTGTAATTAGGTAGCAAGCCAAGATTTAGTTTCAGAGCTTCCAAATTCTTCTCAAAAGTGAATCCTAATTTGGGTACCTTTTTTATCATGAAGGAAACAGGTGACATGAAAATATGGAAATTAGCAATATGCTATGAGTAGAAACTGATACATTCAATTCACAATTACCTCCTTTCAAAACTTGAGCAATTTGATAATTTAATAAGCGATGGCAGTTTTCTTCTGCCTATACCTTACAGGGAGGCTCTCTAAGAGCCTATTACCACAGATTAAAGCTTACAGAATCTTCTGTTTCTGGCTGCTTTGGATGTATGTTAAACACCCAATGAATGACAAGATGAAATTCCAGACTTCCCCTATAACTGTAGTTAAAGACAAAGAAAATTACTTGTTCAAAAGACTGAAGTTTTAAATGTGAGACTTGTTAAATTAAGATACTAGAAAAAGCTTTATGAAGATCAAGACAAAAGGGTGAAGAGAATTTGAGGAAAAGAGAAAGCACAAATAAAACACAGAGAGATACCTTTCTCGTCCTTGTGTTACAAGGTGATTTATGTCACTGCTGTGTCTTCTGTCTCCTCTTCCGCCTGCTTTGCCTTCAACTTCAGACAGCCAAGCCTTAGGATAAACAAATGTTTGAGCTCAAGCTTGAAATGTGCTGTTAGGTTTTATAATTACATAACTGTTAGAGATGGAAATCTTTTCTAATTTAGTAACAATACAATTACTTTGAAAAACAGTACAAATGTTTAGTTATATACAAATATTTAAATAAATAACTTCAGTGAGAATAATCTAAGGATTATTTCCTAATGACATGTTAATTTTTTGATCATAAACCCAAAAGGAAAGCAGGAGTTTATAAAAACAATTCATCTCAGATAACCGCTGAGTAACAAGTCTACCTCATTCTTGTGAATTTCCATTCGCAGGCGGTCAATGTTATTCACAGTCTCTGCTAATTTAGGCTGCAAACTTCCTGGGTCTCCCATTTGTGGATTTTTCTCATATACATCTTTCATTTTGTTGAGTGCATCTCTAAAAAAAGGAAAACACAGAATAAACACTTGTTTCATAAGCTTCTATTTAAATCTAATTTGACTTTAAGATTATGCCTCAGTCTTAAATATAGTTATATCTCTTAAAGATATATAAATACAGTTATATCTCTTTAACATTTGCTAAAAATTATTTGCATAAGCTGATAATGCACTATAGAGTTAGCAACTTAGAGAGATTATATCTGGAGTACCAAAAATGAAGATTTTATCATTTTTTCTCTAAACAAACAGATTACTTCTTTATTTGCAAGATAGTTACAGATACATAGAGAGAGACAGGATGATCTTCCCTCTGCTAGTTCACTACTCAAATGTCTGCAATGGCTGGGACCGGGCCGGGCCAGAGCCAGGAGACAGGAATTTCATCTGTATCTCCCAAGTGGTAAAAGGTGTCCAAGTACTTTGTCCATGTTCCATTGCTTTCCCAGGCAGATAAGTAGTAAGGCTGGATTGGAAGTACAGCAGCCAGAACCCAAACCAGTACCCATACAAGATGCTGGTACTGTAGACATTGGCTTAATTCATTACATCACAAACTGGCCCCAGTTTATTTTTATGTCTGCTTATACACACACACACACACACACACACACACACACACACACACACACACACACACACACACGAGGCGGCTTTAGAAAGTTCATGAATAATGTAATTATACAACAACATAGTAGGAGCATTTGCCATAACTAATAAGACAATGGTAGAGATGCCCAAGTCCCACATTCTTGAGTTATTAAACTGTCTCTACATACGGTTTCCACTTTCTGCCAATATTGATTCCTGAGGTACTACAGATGATTCAAGTAAACAGAGTTGAGCCATCTGTGTGAGAAAACCCAGACTGAAGTTTCTGATTCCTAGATTCAGTTCAGTCTAGTCCCAGCCATTAGACGAAGCAAATCAGCAAATGGGAGCTAGTGTATCCATTCTCCCTCCCCTTCTCTTCCCCTTTCTCACTCTTCTTCCCCTTTTCCCATTTCTCTGCCTCTCAGATAAACAATTGTGATTTAAAACATAAAGATGACTGGAGTGCCTGGGTTCAATTCCTGCTCCTAGTTTGTAACCCCAGCTGCCTTCCAATGCAGACCAGTCACTCTGGTAACTGGGATTCTGCCACCCACAAGGGAGCCCTGTGTTTCTGGCTCTTGGATTCATCCCAAGATTAGCCCCCAGACCAGCTCTAGCCTTTTGTAAGCATTTGGGGAGCAAACAATAGATAAGGGCATTCTCATCCTCTCTAATGAAAAAAAAGGTTATGTGAATTTTCCATGAACATTTGAAGATCCCAGTGTGTCTGTGCATTCATATATATAAGTGTGAGTGTATGTGTTCGTATATATATATTTAACCAACAACTAGAACAACATTCTTTACTTGAAAATAAGATTTATTTATTTGAAAGGCAGTTACAGAGAGAGAGAGAAAGAGAAAGAGAGAGAAAGAAAGAGAGAGAGAGAGAGCGATTATAAGAGAATTTTCCATCCACTAGTTTACACCACAATGACTGGAGCTGGGTCAGGCCAAAGCCAGGAGTAAGGTCTGTAGTGGACCTGGATTAGAAGTACAGCAGGCCAGACCGACTTGAACTGGAGCTCCAGTATGTGATGTAGCATCTACAATGGCTTTACCTGCTGCGCTAGCCACATCAATCCCAATTCCTCAATGTCATTAAACTCACCATGTTCCAAAACAAACTCATTATATTCCAACTAAACCATAGGGCTACTTCTCTTGGTTCATACAGCACCATCTCCTCCCACTCATCTATGATATAAATAAGAATGCCATATTTAGGTTGTTCCCTCCCCCTAAATTCAATCTTTACAATGGAATACTGGACTGTCTGACATTGTCTATGCCAGCAATGTCAGGGCACACTTAAATAACACACTGATAGAATTATGACTCTTTGTGAATGACTACACTACTGTAATGATATAGGAAAATCAGTCAGGGAGTAGAAATGTGGGGGGGTGGGGAATCCCAGACTCTATGGAATTGTAACAAAATTCAAATTAAAAAAATTTAAAAATAATAAAATATTCTTTCATTTACAAAGAAAAAAACTCAGTCTTTGGCCATTCCTCCTAAGCCATTTCCTCTTATCTGATCACATCACAAATTGACGCTCTCTAAATATCTGACACTACTGACTAAACTACCTTAATAACTCTTTTTCCTTTTTGACCTGGAGGTTTTTCACTTTCTCCTCTTTGCTCTGTTTTCTCCTTCTCCTTTTGTTCAACTTCTAGATGCCTATTACATAAAATGACAGCAGCTTCCCCTCATCTCATCCCACACCATGTTCTTTCAGGATCATCTCTTACTAAAATTAATATTAAACTAATATTACCTACCTCAAGATGACTCTCAAATGTGTACCTCCAATCCTCTCCTAAATTCTAGACACCCATTTCCAAACCAACCGGGACATTTTCAATATGGACTTTTGAAATACTTCAAAAATCAATAAAAACAAACCATTATCCTAAACACAAATCTATTTTCTGTTATTATTTCAACTAATTGTATAGCTATTTTCCTAAGATAGAAGTCTTTTTTTCTTTCTGTTTTTAACCATCTCCACTTTTTCCCTTCTTGAGCATTCAATCACATGGCAAGTCTTAACCTTTTCTAGCTTTGAAATGACTTTCAGATCTATTCATCTTTTCTATTTCCAGGGCCATGCCTTAATTTAGCTCTTCAGTTTCTATCACTGGGATTCTTATCAAGTTCCCTAGTCTCCCTGAATCCAATCTGTTTCCTATACAATCTCTTTGCTGCCTCAATCTGCTTTCTAAACTCTTAACACTGCTTTAAATTACGCTTTTTAGATAAAGAGCTAATAGTATCATTTCCTCTCTCAACAACTTTTGATAACTGCCCCATACCTATAAAACTTCACAGAAAAGCATTCAAAATTTTCTACGAGCTGGGGCCGGTGCCAGCACTGAGCTAGGGCTCTGTGTCTAAATCTTCGCCTTGCATGCATTGGGATCCCACACAGGTGCAGATTTATGTCCCAGCTGTTGCACTTCTCATCCAGCTCCCTGCTGGTGACCTGGGAAAACAGTAGAAGATGGCCCAAAGCCTTAGCATCCTGCACCATGTGAGAAACCTGGAAAAAGCTCCTGGATTCTGGCTTTTGATTGCCTCAGCTTCAGCCATTGCAGCCACTTGGGGATGAACCTAGGAATGGAAGATCTTTCTCTCTATATTCCTTTCTCTCTGTAAATCTGCCTTTCAAATAAAAAATAAATTTTTTTAAACAAAAAAGGATTTTACACAAGCTACCTTATAAAACCTTTTCATCCTCATGCTTTGTGATTATATTTCACATCACTTTTAATCAATTATCTCTAGGTTAAAGTAGAAATGGGAGCCATGACAGGAACATGTATTTCTATGCCTTTCTTCTTGTTTTTCCCACTTCCTGGAACATTCCACTACCCAAATGGCCACAATAGCTGGGCAAAGCTCAGCCAGGAGCCTGAAGCTTCCCCCAGGTTTCCCACACGGGTACAGGGTCTCAAGGCTTTGTGCCATCCTCAACTGCTTTCCAAGGTCACAAGCAGGGAGCTGGATGGGAAGCGGAGCAGCTGAGAGATGAATCAGTGCCCACATGGAATCCCAGCGTGTACAAGGCAAAGATTTAACCACTGAGCCATTGCGCCAAGCCCTGTATCTTCTACCTTCCTGCCATAGCCTAATATATATGGCAAGCCCCAAGTGACAGACTAAATGTTGTATTTTCCCAGGACATTTACATGTTGCTCTAGTAAGAAATACTTCAACATTCACAAATGATTTATACTAATACAGGTGATCCTTATTATTTATAAATTTCAGATTTGTGAATTTGTCTACTTGCTAAAATTTATTTGTAATCCCTAAATCAATGTTAAAAGTGCTGCTGTGGGTATTTTGGACACAAACACAGAGCAGCAAAAACTTGGAATCACTGAAGGCATATTCAAGTTCCCAGCAGAGGTCAAAGCTAATACTTTGCCTTCTTGTTTCTGCTCTCATATTCTCAATGCCTCTTCCTTTTTCAAACTTCTTAAGACTGTGTTTCATATTTTTTGTACTTTATATCAGTGACCTTGCTGTTCAAAATGGCCTATAATTATGGTACCAAAGTATTGTCAAGTTTTCCAAGCATGAAAAGGGTGTAATGTTATTTACAGAGAACATGTGTTAGGTTTTTTCAGACATGAATCACATGGCTCATGGCAAAGTTCAAGCTGCTAAATTGGAAGTAGAGCAATCAGGACACAAACTATTGCCTACATGGTACGTATATCAATGTCACAGAGGGTGTCTTTACCTGCTACACAAAAACGAAATTAAAATTATATGTAAAAAATACAAGCCTTAAGTAATCTGACACTATTTGCCTGCATTTTGCAGCAAACAAAATAATTATTGCCTCAGGATGCCACTGAATTCAATTTATAAACTAAAGCAAAAAGAAAATTTGAAAAGTATAGGAGTGTGGTTAGTGTTGGTGAATCAATCATCAAGTTATTTTATAAATTTATGGAAGACCTAATTCTTAGAATCTAACAAGACTCTGTAACCTAATATTTCATATTTTACCTATGAAATGTATGTTTTTAGTACCTAATAATGTGTCACAATGTACCTAATATTTCTTATTTTACCTACAACATAGTTAAGCATAACATTTTCTAGTTCAGGAATACATTTTTCTCTCAGTTAGGGTTATGCTGACGGACATAACTTAAGGAACAGTACTTTTGGTCTGATTCTTTCTGCAGTTCTCTGTTCAGTTCATCAATGCGCTGCTGCAGTTTTTTACGTCTCTGTTCTGGTGGCAGATGACTGAAATCTTCTAGTGCTGGACCCTGAAAAAAAAGAGTCTAAATCACTATTTTTTTTAAAAAAAAAACATTTTCAGGGAATTTTATTTTTTTTAATTTATGTGCTGCAAAATTAGTACACAAATTTAAAATCCAATTTCAAATCTGCCTCCACTTTAAGATAAATCTACATGTGAATATTAATGAAAACAACTGAAATGAAGAGCTCAAAATTTAGTTATTTTATAAAAACATAAAACAGAATAAATAAAAATACCATGATAAGGATAGCTTGCAATACTTAATATCACATTATTTTCAAGTCTTAGCAGAATAAAATGAATACATATGAACCTTCTTACAGCAACAACAAAATGGAAACATGTAACATTTCTCATCTGTATAGGTTTTAGTTTTATTATCACTATATTCCCAAATCAAACCTACTAGTACAATTCTCAGAATGTTGCAAATGTTCAAACTAAAAATGAGTTTACATAACTAGTAAGCAACTTACCTCACAAAGAAAATATTAGTGAAATATAATTTACTACCACACTGTTTGAATGATGACATTTATTTAACCATTCTTGAGGCTCAGAACAAACATGATCATTACCAAAAAAAATGCAGAACTACCAAATGAGTAGAAATCATATTTGTACAAGAAATAATTGTTCAATTATCCTTTGTTAAACCAAGTGACATCTTAGTGCCTGAAGAAATGATATAATGAAATGAAAGATGTTTTCATCTTTAGGGAAGATGCTTGATGTCTGAAAACTTAAATATTCGATATTTAAAAATATCTTTTAAGAAAACAGGACTAGCGTTTAATGCAAATTTTTGATTAAAATGCTCTTTTTCCTCTTAAATATTTTAGTCACTGTAACTTTCAGTTATTAGAATTCATTATCAGCTACTCAACGCAGATATATACTTAGTGGAAACCTGTTATTTGCATTTATATACATCCAAAATTAATGTCTACATTTTTCTTCTCAAAATGGTTATTTTAAGACAAAGAAGGTAGTTCAATTTTTAAAAACATTACTGAAATCAGCTCCCAAAACAAATGCATTCTTGCTCTTTGCACCACTTAAATTAAAACACCGGCTAAATAGCCTTATATGTAATCAGGCATAAGAATTCTGCTTAACTTTTTACTAAATAAAACTCACTTTAGGCTGAGCCATGATCAAACAAAACATTTAATTAATCATATAACTCTTAGAATCTCCCCAGTGGCCTCTAATTAAAAATACCTAACATGCTTCCCAAAAAAGGGGGTATCCTTTAAGTGACTTTTGCTTTTTCATCATTCAATCATCAGGAATAAGGCAACCCATCAAATCTGATTTAGGTGAATTCTGAAATTTCCTATATGAAGTTTCTTTAAATTTAGTAGTTAGTTCTCAATATAAATTGTCTGGCTTAATATAATTTGAGGCACAGGTTTTGAACTATAAGGCCCAAAATAATAAACTTTCCAATTTATATTTTCTTAACTTTGAAAAAAATTTAAATGAAACCAAGATATGTATTTCAATGTAGTAGGCTTTTGTGGGAAAATACAAAATTCAGTTACATATAAGTTAAACTGCCAGATTTTCAAATTATCCCCCAAATCAAATATTAACAGGCCCTTGCATTTTCACTACTTCATTTTAACATTATAACTTAATTCTTACATAGAATTTGAGAACTAAAGTTACTATAAGAAGCTCTGTCCGGCATTTCACAACCTTGCTTACCACATGGAAATTTTACAAAAGGCTAAATTAGAACAGACCAAAAAATACTAGTTGATTTTCTGCGGGTTATTTGGTACAGCTCTTATACAAGCATCCAATAATTTTGGATTTAGCTCTTCATTAATGTAGTTCCGTTAATGAAATAAATGTTAAACAGAACAATACGCACACACACACACACACATACACACACACATATACACAATATTTGTATCATGTGTGCTTCCATTCCCCTTCAGTAGTTCAGAGGAATGGAGCACTAGCTCCACAAAGAAATTACAAAAAAAAACTTTCTTTCTGGAAAAATCTAATAGTTCTTGTGAGATGCTACAAATCAGTTTCATCTAACCTTTTGAAAGGATACTAACAATAAATTTAGCCACAATTTTCTTCTGTATGAAAACATGAACTTTTGCTCTACTGTGTACTTCTAAAATAATATTTGACCATAATTTTATTCCCCTTCTGTTACACATCAAGGACTCCACCCAATAACATTTACAACTTAATGGGTTGATGAGAGTTAACCACAGTATCTTCTAGTCTTATGACACTGAGAGGTACTGGCATATGTTGGACTATGGATTAAATTATAAAAAGGAAAAAACATACACAAAATGTGGAATGTATTTTACCATTTGTTTTTAATTAACAAAACAATGTTTTGAGATTACTTAACGTTGGAACAGTATATAGATCAGCACATAAGGCTTACCATCTTCACCGACCACTGAATAGTTCAATGGAAAACAGAAAGAAATGGTAAATTATTCACATGAAATCATAATACAGAAGATGCAATAATTTATAATTTTTTTACAATATTAAATAATGTACATTTCACAATCCAAACAAATATGCCAGAAAAACAACTGTAAGCACATTTGGGAAAAGTAACTTACAAAAAAAGCATAACACGGATGATAATGGGCAGATACTGTCTAAGTTAAACTAAAACTCGAAAGTAAATAGCATTCATAAATGACAATAATCATCCATTTTCTTTTTAAAAGAATTTTTACATATGTGAATTTTATTTATGGGTCTCTGTTCTCAAAGTACTAATATTTAAAAAGCCAAATATCATTAGTCATTTAAAATACTAAAAAATAGAATGTTTTTCCAGGGCATTAAATAAATACCATTATCTGAGTTTTTATCTTTCAAAATACTGTTTTGAACTTAAATATGTTATAGTTAGGAAAGAGTTAACATGTTTAGATTTAAGGGACTTTTTAAAAGTTCAGGCTTATTAAAAACATTATTACCAAAACAATCAGGGAGTGAGTTATTTAAATTGAAGTTTCCTACAGATTTCCTAGTAAATGCAAATTTATACGGCACTTGCTTTGAAAATACAGCTGCTTTTTATTTTTTATTCTGAAATCATATACTTGAAAAAACATAACTGCAATTACAGCAAACCTATGTTTTTCTGAAATTGACAAAGTCTAAGAGACCAGAGTATAAATACTAGAGATACATATCTCCCACATTCAAGACTCAGAAAGCTTCCACAACTGCTATGGCATCTGTCTGGCATCCCAACTACATATATACACACATGCGCACACAAATACACACACACACAATGAAGCAGAATACGCCCTAAGCTTTTTTTAAATTAAGCTTCACAATTCAGCACAGATGGCTTACAGCCTTAAAATGGTTATTTTCCCTATTTCCTAAATCATGTTTCCAAACAAAGTTGTAGGGCAAAGTCAGACTTCACATAAAAATATGAATTTTAATAAATATATGATAAAAACATTCACCATGTATTGCTGATGAATTGACCGTATATAAATATATAAATGGTTAGGAAGATAATAAAAGATGACATTTGCTCTCATTATCTTTCCTAACTAAGCTTAACATTCTTCAGACTGTCACATTTTATTTTACTAAGAAAAAATTCCTGATAAGGAACCAAAAAGAGTTAAAAAAGATATTTACAATCTTCTTTAAAATATATTAAACAAAATTGCATATAGGTCAAGAAACAACACATTTAAATTATTTGAACTTGATGTCTTGTATCATCATATTCAGCTAAATTTCTAAGTTATTTTTCTAATTTTTATTTTAATAGCTTAAAAAATACCCATAGCCGAAAGAGCAAGGTTTCCATCTTTAGCCCTTTACTTTATTATCAGCTAGAAAATTTGTAACTTGCTAATCTGATATTTCTAAGATACAAAAACTCAAGATCTTTCCAAGAATATTTTGTGTAAATATATACTCAATACAAAAATACCTTCTTCTCATATGCCTGTAAATTAGAAAATTTCACATTCTCGTACTATCTTAATAACTACAACAGACATGAAAAGGAAATTAGTTCAGCAATAAAAATTATTAGGTGTGATTTTATTTTAAGGTAAGCCAAGTAAGTTTCTAAGAACTATACTCTAGATAGACAAAAACATACAAAAATTATTCTGAGAGTCTATAAGGTTGTAAACAATTTAGAAAACATGGACTGTGATTACTAGATACATAATTACTCTTTTCCTCGTTATTATTTTTTTTACTTTTCCACAGTACAGTTGTGTATGTATACACAACTTCCTTCCCCTCTTCCTCCTTCAGCCATCTCCCCTCTGAATTAGCAAAGCAGTATAGTCCCTTAATAGCAGTTACAAGTTTAACTTGCTGCTATTTAAATGAAGAAACAAAACTATTTTTTAAAAAAGAGCATCCAAGGACTCTCAAGAGGTCACCACAGAGTAAAAGTGATTGTTTTACATATTAAGTAGTCAAGTTTGAGTAAATTCTTAAGTATCCATTCACTGATACAAGTTGATGTCATATAAGGAAATTATAGGCTTTTTCCCCTCAAAAAAGATCTGTTGGTTTTACAGTAAAGCTCAAAAACACTACTTTAATAGAACATGTCTTAGTCTCACTGATCTTGGGAACTATATACGCCAGTTTTTCTTCAAAAAATGCAAAAAAAAAAAAAAAAAGTCCCGCTCTTTAAAAAGAAAGTTTCAAAAAAAATCAGTGTTCAACACAAATACAACTCAAATAGATTTATGAACTGATTGCTAAAACTAATCAATTTTAAGATACCTTAAGACAGCTGATAGGCCTAAGAGAAAAATACTACAAATCTATGTAAAAACACATAAAACTCATTTATAAGAGAGCAATTGATAAAAATTCTCAATTAACAGTAACAGTAAAACATCTCTAAGGGCTAATTATGAAAATATATCTTATAACTACTGAACACAGTCAAAGCAGAAAAAAAATTTCCAATTCTCCATCTTGTATTCCATTTTTTTCACTGTTCCATCCTCCAATCCCTTACGTACCGCTTTTTCCTTTAATATGGAAACAAAGCTGAGAAGGACTTTAGCCTTCTAAAATTGAGCCCTATAAAATAGCGTACAACTATTGTATTTAATATATAAAAATAAGACCTAATAATTAAGCAAATAGCTTTTAAAAGTCCTATAGGTGGATCAATAGGCTAATCCTCCACCTGCCAGCTCTGGCATTATATACAGACACTAGTTTGTGTCCTGACTGCTCCACTTCCAATCCAGCTCTCAGTTTATGACCAGGGAAATCAACACAGTATGGCCCAAATCGCTGGGACCCTGCACCCATGTGGGCTCCTGGCTCCAGGCTTAGGATTGGATCTGGCCATGGCGGCTGACAGGAATAAACCGGCAGATGGAAGATCTCTATTTTGCCTTCTCTCTGTAAATCTGCATTTCAAATAAAAATAAATCTTTTAAAAGTCCTACAGGTGTAAATTTTTACTTACAAATGAAGTGAATGAAGAATGAAGAAGCCTCATGTGTAGGTTTCTTTCTGTAGGTCTCAGTTCTAATCACCTAATATTTTTCATGGGATCACCTATTTCCTTAACTCTCTAATGACCATAATGAATAGAGTACTTTAACTGGGCCTGGGAGAGACTCAATATGTATGATATAAAACTGATTACAAAAACATGGCTGCTGAATAGTAATTTCTCATGATTTATGTTTAGCAGGATCTAAAGCATTATGGAGGAGCAACACAGGAATTCTACCCTCATGACTCAGGCAATAAAAATCTAAAATAAGATTTTTAGTCTTCAGTATTAAAGGCTTTTTAAAAGGTAATGATAGGCAGTCCTGTAGGTAACACAGGTTCATCTACAGGGATTTTCAAGATGCCATTAATTACCCATTACATGAACCATAAAGACAATTATGTTAAGATAGATGCAAAGTTCTTGTCAGTGAAGAAAAAAATAAAATTCACTGGGACAGTGAGTTTTCTGCTGCATTGCTGACATCAGTAGCTTGTCACATTGTAACAGAAACGTAGATAAAACCATCTTGCCTTAAATTAAGATGTCATGTTCTACAATGGCCAAAATGTATTTGAGGTCAGAAAGGGCAAAAGAATACAAGCAAACATGGCACAGGCACTGGGATACAACACTGAAGTGCCTGTCTTCCATTCTCAGATCCACCTCCAAACCAGCTTCCAGGGCCCAAGCACCTGGGGCCCTCCCATCCATATGGAAGACCTAAATTGAGTTTTGGATTTCTGGTTTCAGCTTGGCCCATCTTCAGCTGTTGTGGGAATTTGGAAAGAGAGACAATGGACATCAGACTTCTCTCTCTGCCTTTCAAATAAAGTAAAAATAATTTTTAGAATTTTTAACACTATTTGCCACTAAGATACTGATTGTTGCTATGGAATAGTTTAATGCTATACTAGCTTTTTAAATAAGTAAATGGCAATGCAACTAAAAAAAAGAGAGAGAAATTATTATTGGCAAAAATTGTCTACTTCCAGTTCAAGAAAACAAATTATATTATGTAAGCACTACTTAATATTACTATTTATGAATTTTACAATTTACAATATACCTTCCAATATATTATCCTACTTTAACTTGTAAACTATCTTTATTTTTGATATGACTATAATTTTCTTTTTACTTTAACAACTGGAAATTCGGTTTTATGCTTCTGAAAGCAAGCAAGGTAACTAAAATTGACCTTGATATTCTACTAACAACAAAATAATACCTTGAAAAACTCTCAGGTGAAGTCAACAATAGTGACAAATTATTATGAGAGTAACTCTAATGACAAATTACTAAAAGTCTTAAAAATGTAAATACATTACAAGACAATGGTGGACATATGATTTCACATAAACAAAAAAATAGCTAAATATGACTGTACCCAACACCCTCTTTATAATACCATTCTTTCATGGTTGAATATTTCAAATGTATAAAGAGGAGTTGATTTTAACTTCCGGGCAGTTTCGCTCAATTCTGTGGTGGTTTTAAACTACATATTTACAGGAGAGAGCCTTATAATGAGGGTGGAGAGTATTAAAAGCCACACTACACACACAATAGGCCATCATGCATTTTATTCCATTACTAAACTTACCCCTCTTTTGAGGCTTCTGAAAGAAGGAATTCTGGGCTTCCCTGTTTTTATTTCATTCATACAATAATGCACGGGCTCAATGGAGAATGTGAGAAACTGGGACCCATTAGGAGTACTGGATGTGAATAAACTAGTAGGGGTTAAGGGTGGGGACTGTGGCTAATATGGAGATAAAGAAAGGAGTCAATAAGCCAATGTGCATAGTTTCGCCCTAAATGAAATCTCTATTTTTGGCAACAAACTTTTCACAAAATATACCTCAAATATTCTATAGAAATATTATAATAAACAATTTTGTCCAAAACTATCATTTTAAAGTCAAATTTACTTTAAAAAAATAATTTCAACTGATCATCTTTTATGACAGGTTAAAAACAGACAGAATATACAAACTGTTAGCAATACGACCTAGATTAAAAAAAATTCTGATTTATAAAATATTAGCATCACTATGAATTCCTAGTTAGTTATTCTTAACCTATATTTGTCAAGAGATAAACGCAGCAACTACAGCTGAAGTTACCCAGAAAGGTAAATGTCACGCATAATCACAGATAAGTAAAAAAAAAAAAAATCATCATATCCATGGCTTTCTTCTCAATTTTCTATTGTATTATTAGTTCACCTACCACCATTTTTTTTTTTTTTTTAAATCCCAGCTTTCCTTGTATTATTAAACACTTCTGGCTATTCCGATCTAACCAAACAAAAGGATTACCTCTCAACTTCTTGAGAATTATGAATAAAGGCTGAGTTAATAATCATTGTGCTCTTTAATTATAATCATACTGTAATTTAAATTAAATTTCGTCCATACTCATGACAGAATTAACTAATATACATTAATAAACGCAGCACTTCAGATTTACATATCTGGTGCCAGCCTTTGGGTAACAGGTAAGGCAGCCACTGGCAATGCTGTGCTGGCATCACACATGGACATGAGTTCATGTCCCCACCGCTGTGTTTCTGATGCAGCTCCCTGCCCATGTGCCTGGGAAAAGCAGAAGAAGATGGCCTAAGTGCTAAATCCCTGCTTCCCATTTGGGAGACCTGGAAGAAGATCTGGGCTCCTGATTTGGCCTTGCCCAGTCCCAGTGGTGTGGTTACTTAAGAGAGTGACTCAGTGAATGAAAGATTTCTTTCCTTCGCTATGTAACACTGCTCTCCAAATAAATATTTTTTAAAAATAAAATAGACTTTAAAAAAATCTATTCTGACAGGACACTATTGTAATCATTAAACCATTATGAAAGAGTATCCCTCAATTCCATTTTGCTAACTTAAATATCATATCAAAAGGTGGGTTCTAATAAACAGTGAGATTCTCTTGGCAAACTAGAAAATTTTGAACTTCAATTAATCAAGAACACCAAGACCTCCCCATGAAAAAAGCCCATGGGTAATAACAAAAATGTTATTAGCATTATCTAGATGATCTAATTTGACATTTATTATTGTAATGGGCAGTCATTCATCCCAATTAACAATTACAGTTTTGGTGGTCTTTAAATTAGACCACGTTCCCTTAGAAAATCTAGTGAGAATTACCTACAAGTTAAATTTCAAAAGTACATAACTTAACCGCATAAGGACTGCTTTTACTTAGCTAATAACCAAGCTGCGATGAAATGTTAAATCCAGACTACATTTTTACTATTGAGGTATAAAAACTGTTTTCTACTAAGTATAAGATTAAACTTCCAACTGAAAATGTTTAATTCTTCATTACAACTAAACAATCATTTGATACCTACATTGATATAACTGATACAGTAAAAACACCTGATTAGCATATAGGAATTTATGATTTTTTTACCTTGGGCTTTTTTCCAAAGAGCCACAATTTGCCCTTGGATTTTCCCACTGTGGTTTTGGCATCCATCTTCCCACTTTCCTGTCTGGATGCACTGATAGTCCCATCAGAAATGGTTCTATAAATATGCTGACTGTAATCTTCAAATGGAAAATCTCCTGGAGGTTCAAAGCCAGACTTGAAGGAGTCTACCACCATTTGAGAGTCCTACAGACAGCAACAGAAATTTTCAGAATCAATTCATTTGTTCTTAATACATTCACCTTCAAAACTGTAATCATGCAAGAAAATAAAGCTTAAAAAAACTTTTGCAGTAATCGTTAGAAGTTTCTTGTGAATTTTTAATAAGTTTTCAAACCCACTAGCAGAACTATACTGACAAATAACAATTTATCATATACATGAATGTTTTTATTCAGGTTTAACACCCTGAAATTCAACTAAAGACTATTATTGCTAAGAAAAACCAAACTAGTGTCAGCACTGCATCCTAAACATCCTATAAGGGTTTCAGTTTGAGTTACAGATGTTCTACTTCAAATCCAGCTCCCTGCTAACGTGCCTGAGAAAGCAGAGGAGGATGGCTCAAGCCTTGAGTCCCTGCACCCAAGTGGGAAACTCAGGGCAAGCTCCCAGTTCCTGGCTTCAGCCTGTCCACTGCAGCCATTTGAGGCAGGAAATCAGCAGATGAAAGATCTCTTTCTGTGTCTCTTCCTTTTTCTTTTATTGAATTTTATTTTTATTTGAAATTATTATATTTATATTATTTATATTTAATTTTATTGTATCTACAAATATAATATTTATATTATATTTTATTTGAAAGGTAAAGTTACAGAGAAAAGGAGAGACAGATCTTTCATTAGCTGGTTCATTCCTCAAAAGACCACAACCACAACAGCTGAGCCAATTCAAAGCCAGGAGCTTCTTCCAGGTCTCCCATGTGAGCACAAAGGCCCAAGGACTCAAGCCATCCTCCTCCACCTTCCCAGTCCACAGGAGGGAGTTGGATCAGAAATGGAGCATCTGGGGCATGAGCCAGTGCCCATATGGAATGCCAGCACCAGGGATGAAAGCTTAACCTACTATGCCACAGCACCAGCCCCATTAGATAGATCTCCAAAAAAATTAGAACAATACAGAAAGAATTATCAACTAGAAATTGAGACATTTTGATGAAAACAGACTTTTTGCTTTGTAAGTATGCAAAGAAGCTGGCCATGGGAATGAACAAAATCTAATAATGAAAGTTAAGAGATGAATAGAAAGGCTCTTATTCATCCAACAAATAAAATGTACATTGTAGAATGTTCAATAGGCAAACATTTCATAAACAGTACTGAATATAAGAAGCTTCCTTGGAAATACAAAGTTTATTAATATTACCTAAAGCATAAAGGCTTACCTGAAAATTATATACTGTCTCTAGAAATACTTACTCTAACTGAATGGTTTATTGACACTTCAAACTCATTATTTCCAAACAGAATATTTCATTTCCACACTCCTCCCCATTCCTAAATACCTCTTCTTTTTCTATATCTATTTCTATTAGCAATACATTGTTTGTTCTTCACTTAGCTAAAAGCCACACTTCAATTTGTCACTAATACTAATTCAGCATTCACTAATTCAGCAATCAATTGCTAAGGGTAAAGACCATAAGAAAAGAGGCCCAATAAAAGGTTGAAAAACCTTGGATCCTGGCATACAGAAATATATGAAATGTTTTAAAAAACTTCACAGAAAACATTTATTTCAAAAAAAAGGTACTCATGGATTTCAAAAGTTCATTGTACCAGCATAAACATGTTTAAATTCCACCTCTCTACAAGCTTTCCGAAGTATGTTTGTGTGTATTCCCAAGTATTCAAGAAGCCAAAAAATCCTCTTCCTTTTTAAAATTTAAATAAGGATTATACTTGTTATCACAGTAAGAATTCTCACTAACACTTACATAATCTCTACTTGATACATTGCAGTCACTTCTGAAATATGTAGTACAAACTTGACATTTTCCAAACACTAGTTCTGCTCTCTTGTTCTTTCCTTATAGCCTCAGTTTCTGTCAGTCACGGTTTTCGATGACTCAATCAGTGTTTACTAAGAAATGACCCTACTAAAAGATTCAGCAACACCTTAATTGGTGTATTTGGCACAGTAGTTGAGACATCGCTTGGGACACTCACATCCTGCTGTCTCCTGAATTCAATTCCTGTTTGTTAATGATTATCCTAGCAGACAGCAGGTGAGAGCCCAAGTAGAGGGGTTCCTATCACTCCTGTGGAGACCAGGGTTGAAGCTCCAGGCTGCTAGGGGTATTAGGGATTTCTCTGCACACCCATCCTAAAAAAAAGGTACTGTACCTAAACTGATAACTATGGAATCAGGTTGACTATAAACCAAAAATTGAAATGTCTATGAATGGATGTAGTAAAGAAACTGCATTTTCCTATCAACATACTATTAATCAATGCCATGTCAATTAATGCCATAAGGTTGTAAATGGTTGTTGATGTTACGCTCGGGCTTTTAACTGATTGTGATGATAATTTGCTGGCTTTACCTTTGGACCAGAGATGGTCTCACCAAGAAATCGTTGAACCCACTAGGATAATAAGACACTGGACTTTATGCTTGGTAAATACTTCCAATGAAAGAACCTCAACTGAATTTGAACTGTGGTAACGCAGCAAGGTGGAAAAATCCACCATGGGGAGAGGGTTCAGGGAGGGGTGGGGGGAATCCCAGTGCCCATAACACTGTGTCACATAATGCAATGCAATTAATAAAAAAAATTATCACAAAAACTAAATAAAATAAATAATTTATTCTATGGAATATAAGCTAGAATGAAGAGAGATCGCATTCACCCCTTTCCCAATTCATCCTACTACTTAACCTGTACACATAAACCAAATCTATTTCTTCAAAGACAATGAGACGATACTTACTCTCCTTTCGTCAACTGATTTTGCAGCAAGAATCATTCCTTCCAAACACTTTGAAATGATAGGTATAACCTTGCGCTCTGAGTCTGCAAATCCTCTGTAACACTCACTGAGTTTAATAGTCCTTCGTTCATCCATTTCTTGTAGTTGCTAATTATCAGGAATTAAGGGGGGAAAAAAGGAAAACTGAATTTTCTTATCATTCTAAAGACCAGATCGTGACCCTTCCCAAAAAGTAACTTAAATTTCTATTTATCCTAATCATTAAATTTTTGTTGCTAATATCTTTTAACAAATGCAGACTTAACAAAACTTCAACCTAAGGTTTGCTAAATAAACCATAAAAGAAAAAAAAAAATAACATCCTAAAGCCTGTTAACACTGGTTTTCAAGACTATCTAAAAGAACCTCTTTTCAGGCTGCCATATTCCTTGCCAACATTTTATTCTTTAATCAAAGTAGTTCATGTATATACTTAAAGAAACAGTTCCATTTGAAGACAAAATTTTAACTTAACTGGCTTTTAAAAGCAAGTAATCTATATAATGTCTACATTGGAGGTATTTAAGCTAGCTTAGAATACTTTTTAAAACCTGGCTGGACCAAGGGTCCACAGATGACTGCAGACCAACAGGTATCCAGATATAACAGCCTCTTAAAAGAGTTGAAGACACAGGGGTATTCATGAATCATGAGTTAAAATGACACAATAAAATAACTCAAAATTCATTGGCACATACCACCACCAAGTATATGTACCACAACAAACACACTGGGGTCCATGAAGCTCAATAATTTCAATGTATTTTGACCTTGTTCTTTGCTAGGAAGAAACGACATTATTTAAGCCCTCAAACTCCCATAAGCTTCATACCACATTTTCTCTTTGATCACTTTCATCTCTCTCATCTCCCTCCCCTCTCTTTCCCTCTCTCTCTCTCTCTTTCCTTTTCTCTCTCACTCCTGGCCTCCCAAGATGGCAAAACCACTCCATAGCAAGGTCCAAAAAAAAGAGGAACAGGTTCCAAAACACAAGCAGTAGTTTATCTCCCAGTTAAGGTATCCCTTGAATAGGCAGACTGAGCTAGAGTGCTTAAAAAAACACTGGGGTGAGGACTGGCAGGCTGACACTCTGGATTAAATAACCAAAATCTGATACCCACCAGAGCCTACCAATTCTTACTGTGCTTTCTTTGTTGTTCTAACCTGGCTTACAAAAAAAAAAAAGTATACCAGCACTCTTTCATATCAATTCTGCTCTCCTAGAGACTATCTTATTCAGCATGTTTACCACATTCCTATTCTCTTCTTTCTAGAAAAAAAAAAAAACATAGAGTAACATACTCTAACCCTCTTGTATGTTCTTGAGTCTTTATCTGAAGCAGTTTGGCAACTATTATCATCAAGTGATGACAGACAGAATTTATAAGCAAGTTCAAGGCCCAAAATACATTTAGGATCAAACACAGTCTCTAACATAAGCAGGCAGTACCAGACTAGCAAACACATAAAGATGTATTTCTACCACCTGGACTAATGCCAATGATCCTGCTATGGTGTCAAAAAGGTATGTGCCAATTCACGGTGAGTAGATTACAATACACCCTCACCTTGATGATACAGTAGCAGAGTGCTTCAAAAGGCCCAAGGGAAAACGGAATTAAGCTTATTTCAATATTTCAGTGCAAAAATATTGTTAAATCCATGCATAATGTTTCATCAAATGCATTTTGAAGACTTTCTGAAGATCTTTCATATACATGGATTTCACATTTTCTGCACCAAAATTAATACTTTTTTTTTCATTTTTTAATGTTTACTTTTACTTGAAAAGTGCTAGGACTATGCCAGACTTAAATCAACACCAAAAGTTTGAACTCCACTAAGCAGAAGAGACTCAAGCCATCACCTGCTGCCTCCCACAATTTGCATTAGCAGGAAGTTGGATCCAAAGTAAAGTAGTAAGGACTTGAACCAGGTTCTCGGAAATGGAATAGGGGTGATCCAAGTGGCTGATTAATCTACTGTGTCTCAATGTCCACCCTTTAAATTTACTGCTATTTTATAATAACTTTCTGAAGTTCTCTAATTAAAACTTACCTCAAAAATGTCACTGTTTTAGTGACCTGCTTATAATATCACTAAATAAATGCAAAGCAAATTTTTTTAGTTAAGTAACAAAGGGATGAGTGTTGTGGTGCAGGCTGTTAAGTTGCTATTTGCAATACAAATGAGATGCCAGCAAGTTTAAGCTTTGGCTGTTCTGCTTCTTATCCAACTTCCTACAAAAGTTGCTTCCCTGGAAAGCAAAGGAAGATGCCTCAAGCAGTTAGGCACGATAGATCCATCTCTTTACCCTCTCTGTTCATTTTTTCAAATGCACTAATTTTTCAATACAAGTGAAAATTTACTTTATAAATTAATATTCATAGTCAATTCTTTTCTTTTGAAAGATTTATTTATTTTTATTGCAAAGTCAGATATACAGAGGTGGAGAGACAGAGAGGAAGATCTTCCATCTGATGATTCACTCTGCAAGTGACAGCAACAGCAGGAGCCAAGCTGATGCAAAGCTAGGAGCCAGGAACTTCTTCCAGGTCTTCCAATCAGGTGCAGGGTCCCAAGGCTTTGGGCCATCCTGGACTGCTTTCCCTGGCCACAGGCAGAGAGCTGGATGGGAAGCAGGGCTGCCAGAATTAGAACCGGTGCCCATATGGGATCCTGGTGTGTTCAAGGCGAGGACTTTAGACACTAGGCCACTGCGCCAAGCCCCATAGTCAATTATTTTATCACTAATCTTGTTGAGTAATGAAGCTAAAAAGACCATCTAAGATCTAAGAATATATTTTAAAACATATTCTCCCAAACTATGTTAACTTTGTTTTTCAAAAATTTACCTTGTAAATCTGAGGAATCACTACATAGAAATGTTTGTGTTGCTCCCCATTAAAGTTTTGTAATTGTGCGGCATATTCATTTTTATTTTCATCAGCCATGTGTGTACGCAGATTCAACTGTTGTTTGGCCTAAAGGCAAATTGGTCCAGATTATTATCAACAATAAATTCATAACAAATCACTTATCTGAAAATTATACTAAAATTAGGTCCAATCAACACAAAAGCTAACTCTCACTACCCAGAGAAAAATGCAATGGTCAGATTCAAACGATTAACCAGAAAAAATTAAAGAGCTGTTTACAGATCTTAGGACCAGAGAGATCTAATTATTATAATATTTTTCCTTTCTCTACTGTAATTAACCTTCTCATTGTTAACAACCAATTCAAATAAAACCTGTCCTATCAAAATCAGATTTGGAATGACTAAACAAATTATATTTTATCTTGAAATGTTAAGAAAAACAGGTAGCTTCAGAAATATTTTAGGGATCTGAGAAAATAACACTTCTGATTCATCTACAAGCTATGTTCTTAATGAAAATAAAAAGCAGCCAATATTTCAGATAAGCCCATAAAAGTCCCTTTTATTCACAGCATTTCTGATTATAAAATAAGTGACATGGACCCTAAATCCCATGGTCCAAACCATTTTTACAGAAAAATGCATTCCAAGTTCCAATCTGAAACCCTAAGTACACATTCATTTATCCCTTCCTCTTGTCTTTTCTACCATAAACTAGGTAAAGGATTCCAAAATTCTTCTCTTGCCAGAGGAAACTGCTCCAGTTCTACATAATTGGAACATATGTGAAACAGCTAAAGAAACATGACAATTCACCTAATAATCTACTTTAAATACATAAAAAAAGCCATTCAGAAAAAAAGATTTGACATTTTTTTCTACAATCCCAAAAACATTAAAATAGAGAAGAATGTAGTCAATACACAAAACTTTTAAATCTGGGGAGGATGTAAAGAGCAGTCGGCAGGAAATTATACATTTCCAGCAACAGGGAACTCACTATCATTATAGGTATGATACGTTACTAAAAAGAGGGTAGAAAATATATGAGTACAAGCAACATGAGTTATACTTACAAGACCTTTAAGGTAAGTATAACCTGGAATTTACATGATTTTAAGGGACTTTTTTTAAATAGTAAAGAAAATGGAAAGCAGAGAATACATTATTCCTTTATCCCTTCTTTTTGCTCATTCTGATCCTATAGAGAATCAAAAAATCCAAGGAAGAAAACATACTAATGGTAGTCCTTTAATAACTATAGAAGTGTGAGGTGAAGCTCACCTATATTTCAAAATACGAACATTTGAGCATTATTCTAACGTAACAGGCAGCATAGGCGTGGGGAGGGAAAGCTAAGTATCAGTAGTAACAAGGCTCCTGCTCCTAACACTACTGAATGCTCCATACTGTACTTCCCCTCTGGAAAGACAACAAAGCACAGTGCTTGGGTCCTATCTGCAAACCCTAAGGCCTTCTACCTTATTTTGGAACAAGACAGAAACTCAAGCCTAACAATAATTACATCTTTCCTCTGTATTTTAAATGCAGCTACTGTAATAATAAATACTAATTACCTTCTCAGACCTATAAAATGAATATATATTTATATATTTTAGACAGAGACAGTGCATGTATTTTATATAGATGGTGTGACTTTTTTCCATATGTAGGTAATAATACTTTGACATCAAAATTAGCTCGAATTATTTCTTACCTTTTCAACATCTGCCTTGGTTGCATTGGTATCATTATCCAATCTCTCATAACTCTGTTGTGCCTTTTCTGCCTCTCTACATTCTCTTTCAAATTTCTTTTTACTCTGTTAAAAAATTGATTAAAAAAGATTTCATGTTAAAAATAACTTTAAAATGTTGCCACTGTGTATTATATAGAAATGAACTGTACACTGAAGCTAAGATGTTCTATTAAAAGCCAAACCACGTGCCTTAAATAACAGACATTAATTAAACTATGAAAGAGAAACACAGACAAGACTGAACTAATAATTGTATCTCATCTCCTTCCACTAAGAAAAATATATTGGTTAAGTTTTTATTATATGCTCATCTTAAGCAAGGTTTTTTGGTTAGTTTGCCATTTTTTTCTATTTCATTAACTGTCTTTGTTACTTCTTTTTCTACTTTTTTGATGGTATCCTATAGTAGCTTGGGAGTGGAAGTACTCTTCCATAGTAGTAAAATACTGTTTTAGCCAGGTGTCCTGAATACCATTAGCCCAGACACTGATTTTTTATTTTTAACTTGTTCAAAATGCAGAGTTACAGAAAGAGGGAAAGGAAAGGGGAGGAGAGAAAAGGGAGAATTTCCATCAGTTGATTTGCTCCCCCAAACAGCCACAATGGCTGGGGCTGGGTCAATCCAAAGCCAGGAGTTTCATTCCACAGGAGTGCTAGACAAGGACATGGATCATTTTCTGTTGCTTTCCCAGGCCATAAGCAGGTAGCTGGGTTGGAAGAAGAGCAGCTGGGACTGGAACTGAGCCACTGACCATATGGATATTGGTGTTGAAGGTGGCTGGCAGGTGAACCTGTCAAACCACAGATCCCAGATCCCAATCTTAAACCCAAAGTACTAAAACTTTGTGAAAGCTGTGCACAACTAAATTATTTTATTTCATTTCCTGCAAACCTGTTTTATAGCCTAGAGTTCATACTTTAAAAATCTGCTTAGTTTCCAATGCACTTAATTCTTACAATCCCAGTTTCTCCTGGTTAAATCTCTACAGTTTAATTCTAAAACATCAAGAATTCTTTCAATTTTTTTCTTTTTTTTTTTCTTAAGTATGTCTCAAAATCTGAACTCTTTACCTTGCTTTCCAAACTTAATTCTCTGAAACTCAGTTGAGAGTTGTGGTTTCAAACTGAGCAGCTAAAAGCTGTTAATTGTGGTGCAAAGTGCGTATCATTTATATACAAAAATATTCTTAAATTGTTTTATTATTTGTATAAAAACATCTACATAATAAAATCTTTGCAACAGCTAAGGGAAGGTAGTAGTACAGAAATAATAAAAATAATCTTTCCCAGAAAGTGTATCTTCATACCGCGTAGGAATGTAGTTCAGAAAGGATTCTCGTCTTCACCCTTGGTGTGGCAAGCTAATAACAGCCACTTTTACTCTCCCACCCTTTCTGAGCCGAGCTACATCCCAATACAAATGGCTGAAGTGGGTGGTACTTGCTTTCCTGGTCTCCCCATGGCCAGGGCATTGGTAAATAATCCAAAACCATCAGAAGCACCCATGAGGAAGTATGCAGGGGGTTTTGGGGGAGTTTTCCTTCCCCAGTAAGCAGGAATGGTTAGAAAAGAACTTCCTTTTCCTGTCCTGAGAATACAGTATCTGGCTGCTCAAGTCAACTGCTATCGGTAAGACAAGGCTGAGGGAAAGCACCAACATGGTCAGACTGCGAAGTCTGACAAAAAGCAGATGCAGCCTTGGTGACGTTGCTGAGCTCCTGACCCTGTCTGAAGGGTTCCATTTCTCAGCTTTCAGTTCATGAATCAGTATGCTTTGTCATTAGCAGCCTCTCAGCTGATACTCCCAGCATCTCTGACACTTCGTTTCAATTTGCTTCAAGACCTTCATGATGCTGCTCTTCTGCCCTCATCTTGAAGGCTAGTACCACCTTCTTTATCCTGCCTTTTGTTTTCTCATTTTTCAATACTATGTCACTAATTCAGTATTTCCCCAAGTTCTTTGTATCTTCTCTCAATTATTTCAAACATCTTAAGAACTCTGCAATGGGAGACCCTGGCACTGTGGTGTAGTGGCTCAAGCCACTGCCTGCATTCATGTCCCAGCTATTCCACTTCTTATCCAGCTCCCTGCATATGATCTGAGAAAAGCTGCAGAAAATGGCCCAAATGTTTGGGTCTGTGCCACCTCTGTGAGAGACTGAGATGAGACTTTTGACTCCTGGCTTCAGCCTAGCTCAGCACTGCCTGCTGCAGCTCTCAGATGTGTGAATCAGCACAGGAAAGATCTCTCTCAGTAATTCTCACATAAAAAGGTAAACATACTTATAAAAAATATTCTACAATTCTATTTTCTTGGCTTAAATAAGAAGGATACACACAATAGCAGGAAACAGCATATTACACAGAAATAGTACTTGTCAATCTTCCTCTTGGACTGCAGGCTCCACAAAAGAAGAACATCATTTTGTATCTCCAAGGTACATTATTTTTTTAAAGATTTATTGTAAAGGTGGATGTACAGAGAGGAGGAGAGAGAGAGGAAGATCCGTCTGATGGTTCACTCTCCAAGCGGTCTCAAAGGCCGGAGCTGTGCCAATCCGAAGCCAGGAGCCAGGAGCTTCTTCCAGGTCTCCCACGTGGGTCCCAAGGCCCTGGGCCATCCTTGACTACTTTCCCAGGCCACAAGCAGGAAACTGGATGGGAAGCAGGGCTGCCGGGATTAGAACTGGCGCCCATATGGGATCCTGGCGCGTGCAAGGCGAGGACTTTAACCACTACGCTATCACGCCAGGCCCACCAAAGTACATGTTAGGGACTCTTTCAGTAAACATGATTAGGGTTGAACTCATTTTTTTTTCCCACAGCATTCTTGATTCTTAACAATATCTCTCCAACATTTCTGATGCTTCTTTCTTATAATCTTTGTAAATTTTATTTGGTAACTGTCAATCATTCTCCAAGTTAGCTCATATTAACAAGAATTTGTACAACATCAATTTTTAAAGAAACCATGAACTTTATGAACATAATGGTAGAGCAGTCTGTTCTTTTGTGCAAAAGAAAACACACACACACTCTCTCATTAGATGCTGAGGTGGCTTGTTGAGGCAATTTAAAATTTAATCAATGTAAATACTCCCTAAAAGTCTTGTTGAAACCAATTAAAAAGAAAATCAAAACAAAAATGAAAAGAGACTATTAGTACACCCAAGAGTCCTCAATCAACACTGCTGATAGTATCCTGCACCAGTGACAGAATTATACAACAGAAATTTGACCTGTTTCAAATATGCTTTTAAAAGGGATGAAAGCAAGAACTGCAGTTTTTAAACACCTTAAAGTTGTTTCTCTAACCACTTCAGGTTGTCTATTACTTTAACATGAAAAACTTCCTTAAACATAATTTTCAAGAAATGCAGTGTCCATCACAAAAATAAGATATGAAAAAGAATCAACTGTTAACGGATGGCACTGCAGTACAGTGCCAATAGCAGTAAAGCTGCTGTCTGAGATGATAACATCCCAAATGGTCACTGGCTCAGTTTCCAGCTGTTCCACTTCTTATTCACCTCCTGATTTTGGTCTGGGAAAAACAGCCCACAGTGGTCCAACTGCTTGGCCCTTGCCATCCATGTAGGAGACCAAGAAAAAGTTTACAGCTCTTAACTCTGGCCTGGTCCAGTCCTAGCATTGTAGCCATCTGAAGAGTGAAACAGTACATAGCAGCTCTCCTTCTCCTCCCCTGCTCTCCATCTTCCCCTCTTTCTAATAAACGAATCTTTAAATTAAAAAAAAAGATTTTTTGGTGTGTGTGCTTTTATTGGAAACGCAGATTTACAGAGAAGAGAGATGTAAAGATCTTCCATCTGCTGGCTCACTGCTCAAATGGCCACAACAGCCAGAGCTGAGCCCATCTGAAGCCAGGAACCAGAAGCTTCATCTGGGTCTTCCAGGTGGGTGTGGGGTCGCAAGGTTTGGACCATCCTCTACTGCTTTCCCATGCCAGAAGCAGGGAGCTGAATGGGAAGTGGAGCATCCAGGACACAAAATAGCACTCATAGGGATCCTAGCACTTGCAAGATAAAGAGTTAGCCAACTGAGCCATCATACCGGGCCCTAAAAAACCTTTTAAAAAACAAATTGTTTATAACCTGAGAGTTCAGAAAGAATATTTTGTACAATGAAATATCATTTGATACAGCATTTTAAGTAAAGCAGACTGTAATGCTCTTTGCACACTTCTTGTTTTTCTATTTACTATAAAATAGAACATTTAAGAAAACCAGCTTAGTAAGTACATTTGGGGAAAATTTCCTAAGTAATTATTATGCTTTTCTAATTTTGTCTCACAGAATTAAAATACTTGCCCCTACAAATCACTTTGTTTCCAATAACTGAATGGTTTCTGGCCAACAGTCCAATATTAGAAGCATTTACAAAGTTAAAGAGCCAATGAATAGGAAAAAGCAGTCCATATAATATAATGCACTCTGTTCATGCTAAAGATGGAGCCATGAGAAATAGAATTCTAAAAAAGATGCAGAACTAGAACCTTGGCTATTACAATCTCAGTCAAACTCTTTTCCAAGGGCAGCAGGCATTTAAGCCTGGTAGTTTAAATACCTGTGTCTCACACTGTTGAACCTGGCTCCAGATTCTAGTTCTAGTTTCCCGTGAACGCAGACTCTGGAGAGCAGCAATGATTACCTAACTGACCCTGTCAGCCACCTCAGGACATCCGAGTCAACTTCCAAGCTCCCAGCCTAGGCTCCCCAGCCACTACAGACAACTGGGGAAAGAACTAGTAGGTGAGAGCTCTATCTCGGTCTGTCTCAAATCAAAACAATTAAAAAACAAAAACACAGACTGAAAATGAATCACTATTTCCCTATTCTTTACTCTATTAGTATTTTGTAGTAGCTATTGGAATTTTAAAAAGCATGTCACCACAAAACAAATGTCAAATTGTGAATAATATATCAACAAACATTAAATTCAAACAGACGTGAACCATAACAGAATTTAGAGCTGACCTAAGTCTGTGTTACATGAAAACACTGTAACTCACATTATCCATCTGTTTCCAACACATGTCAAGGTACTGCTGTGCTTTGCGTCCTTCCTGGAGATGCTAAAGATTATAACCACCACCACCAAGAAAATGAAATAAAACAGAGGAGTTACACTTGGAATAAAATCTAAATGCTAAAAATCTTTCATTTATTCTTATTCGAGGAACTAATAATAAATACACCTCACTAAAACAGATGAAAGCCAAACTCTCTGAAGTACATTTCATATTTTCTAACATTATTTTAATACTTTAAATATACCTTTTAACACAGATGCATGCAGAAAAAACAAATATTACTTTGAATACAGGTTGGCAAACATTTTCAGTAAAGGTCAGCTAATACTTGCAAACATTTTAGGTATGGCAAGTCTCATGTCCTCTGTCCCTAAATTTCAGCTCTGCTGATATAATGTAAAAGCAGCCACAGTCATTGACTGTGGATCTGCTAACATAAAGCCTTATTTCTTATGGACATAAATTTCTGTTTCATATAATTTCACATATCATGAGATATTATGCTTTTCATATGCTTATTTCAGTCACCTAGAAACATAAAACTATGCTTTCTTTGCTTATGAGAATGAGGACATGAAAAGGGATGGCAGGCTAGACCTGATCCATGAATGAGTTTGCCAAACCTTGTTCTTAAAACCAAAAGGATCATGAAATACAGAGCCATCTAATCGCAAATTTACCTAGAAAAAGTTTAGTGTAATAGAAAACAAGTTTATGCTCATCACATGCTTGTTTTTAAAGTAATTACTTTTGTGAAAATATTTCACATACTATTATAATGGGATAAAAATGATAAAAATTACCATTTTTCTTTCAGTTTTCAGATCATGAGCATATCTCATTAATTCACCATATACTCTGTGTGCCATTTCTTCTGCTACTACTTCTCGTTGTCCTGCATAGTCATTTAACTCATTAAGGATGTTAAAAAAGGCTATACACGAGGTAAACCTGGCAAAAACATATTTTAAAATGGTGAAATTTACTTTTACTTTCATGATGAATATTTTTGGTAAAGTAAGACTTGAACCTAACATTTGATAAATTTTAACTTCTTCAATATAAACCCCGGCTACTGGTTCTAGATTAATTTTATATGGGAAGAATCCTGCATTAAACTCAAGCTGCAAATGTTCTTTCATCTTCCAAGTTACCTTTAATTTGTTAATAAAGGGATATTTGGGGGTCAGAAAATAACAGAAATACTACCTGCAAGCTCTTTTGGCATACAGGAACCTTTAGTTGCCAACTGACTGGCCTGAGCTTGGGAATGAACTTGATTGGATTTCTAGGCTTGACAGCTGAACCTGTTGCAGAGATGATGTGCTTGCTCTCGAGGACAGAACCTGCCAATCATACCTCTCAAATGCATCTCGATGGCTGCTCTACAGAACAACTTTGCTACCAGCTCTGGCACAGCTGCCTGTATACCTGCCCACATCCTAAATGGAGGTAAAATGCCATTATGGTTGGCACCAAAGAAGGGTAAGAAGGGTCAAAAATAAGGGTAAAAATGTGTGTGAAGGGAAGGAGAGAAAAAAAAAGACAATCACTGTATTAAAATGAATGCACTGAGGAACATACTTATGGCGAAAGGCTAACAGCTCAAGACTCTATTAACACTAACACATAGCAACTGACAATTACACACAAAGTTAAGTGTATTATCTTCTGGTATCTGTACTTTATAGCCACCCACATAGTCCATACTTAAGGCTGCCAAAAAGCTCCTAAGACATTTCTAACCTTTCCTTCAGCATTCAAGAATCGCCTTGAGGTGAGGGTTAGATGTTAAAGACACCAGTGAAGACACGTCCCACACCAAAGAACCTGGGTTCAGTATCTGGCTCCGGCTGCCGACTACAGCTTCCTGGTCTAACACAGACTTTGGGAGGCAGCAGCGATGACTCAAGTTACTGGGCTGCAACCACCCACACAAAAACCTGTAATGAAACCTGGCTCCCAGCTTTGTCCACCCCTAGCCCCAAGACCTGTTTTTCCAATTTTTAAATTACCCTGCAAATCTTATTCCTTTTGATTATCCATTTAAACCAACCTGTTAATATTTTATTACCTTTAAAGGTAAAAGAATCTAAAAGTAGACAACTGCAAAAAAAAAAAAAATCCCTTTCTTTGAGAGACTAAATTACTCAATACGAATTTTATGGGTCTATATTTTACTTGGATTCATCCTTCAGCTAGCCCAGAAAACTGCTGATCAGGTCCACTGAAGTAAGAAATAAACAGCACTTCTCTCTTTTCATAAACACTGTTTTTAAATTAAAACAAGATTCTTAAAATATTTAGTAAAAAGCCAACAGCATATTTATTTTTCTAAAATGTAAATTAAGAATTATTATGAATAAAGATACATAATTTACCTTGGTTCTTCATCTTTGGATGAACGTTTAGGACAGTACTTCTTAACCAAATTTCTATAGGAAGAAGATTTTGAAAAATTTACAATACTGCTGTTCAAATACGACTATTCTGAAAGTTACCAATTTCATTAAATCAAGAATTTCATTACATAAAATAATAATCTACAACCATTAATATAATACATAATCATTACTCACATTTTATTCCTAAAATACTGACACTTATAGAAAAAAAGGTTATTTCTTGTTTATGTGAGTATAATCATAATTTGGCTGATTTATACTATCAAAGAAGGAAAAAAATAAGAGGAAGAATAAGAGAGTCACTGTTAGTAAATGAAACGCAGGAGTACCCATGTTCAAGGGGACATACAGATACTCTATTTGAAAGGAGAAAAGTATATACAGTGATTACAATACACAGCATAAATGCTATGGTAATAGCATAAAAAGAAAATAAAGAAAAAACCAACACTTAATAATCAGTGGGTGAAGAACAGATAAATCTGAGAAAGCAGTTCTGATGAGCATTCCTGCCATTGAGAAACCAACATCCATTAGCTGCAACATAGAACACAGCACGCTAACATGAGCTTTTTTTCAACCAGGGCCATCTGCGCACACATAAAATCATTTGCAGGGCATAAAGAACAATTGCATCCACCTGGGCGGAACCTTTGGAACATGTAGCATTGCGACCTTGGGTTGATATCAGGTGGCCTTTCCCCATCCTCAGGTACTGGGATGATAGGGAGGCTGGGTATGGCTATCTCTTTATCTCTCCCCTCCCCTCAGAAATGGGAAGAAGAAATAGAACGCCTGGAAACAATGATCACATCCACTTCTCCCTAATTCTAGATCCTTCTCAGCCTGATCAACTATGTAAAATAGTTGAGGACAGAACCTCAAAATAAACATCTAAAATAAACATTAAAAAAACCCAGAGAATTATATTTAAAAATCAGTGGAGCAGCTGGGATACAAACCAGCACCCATATGGGATTCTGGCACATGTTAAGGCAAGGACTTTTAGCCACTAGGCTACTGCGCCAGGTCCATCCAAACTTTTTGATGAATGAGAAGATTCTATCTCTTTAGAGCTAAATGCTTAAATAGCACTACAAAAACAGTAAAATACAAATGTCCAATACAGAATTACGATCACAACTGGAACTCTGAAGAAACTCTAAGGATCAAGATCTGTAGTCTCCATGTATGAAGACAATCACAAAAATTGGAGCTGCCGCTCATCAACATTTTACTTATCTTTACACTTAGCACTTTATATATAACTTTATGCTTAACACAGCTGCAGTCAGATATTACTATTCATACACTTTACACAACTCAAAAATACTAAATTAACTTGCATATCTAGTAACAAGTATAGCCAAAACTTACCTCAAATCTGATTCCAGTCATGGAGACAACTAAAATAATTAATGCAAATAAGACTACTCAAGACTCATGTTGTGGTACAGCATGTTAACTGGAGTGGTGATTTGAGTTAAGTCCCATATTGAAGCACTGATTTGTGTCTTGGCTACTTGGGTACCATGCTTCTAATAAAGCTTCTTGCTAATATCCCTGAGAAGGCAGTAAAAGATGCCCTAAGTATTTTGGCCCCTGCCACCCACATGGAAGACCAGCAATCAAGTTTTTGGCTGATAACTTCAACCAGCCCAAGTAGTTGCTGCCAACCGGGGAAAGAACCTGCAGGTGAAAGATTCCCTCCTCCCCTCTTTCTCTTTACCACTTTTTTAAACAAGCAAATCTTAAGGAATAGCAGTACATTCAGTTCCCTCTGGGTCCTATTCAGTTTGTGTCACAGAAAGGAAAGTAGAGTAAGAAGCTGAAACAGAGGAGCCACCCTGACCCCCTCTAGGCAAAGACATGCCTGGTTCCCAACATGCAGCCCCCTTCTCTGGATTAATTGTATTAGCATTCCAAGAGTGGGTCGGTCACCAACACTTGGGAGATGAACCCCTGTACCCTGTGAAGAGAATGGGGAAACCTCAAGGGGGCTCTGACACATACTCCTAGCTCAACACACCCCACACTGAGGGGCAGCTACCACCTGGAAGTGAGTGGTAAATGTGCAATCCCAACATCACTATATCTACTGATGGTGCTGTAAGCACATCACAGAACTAAGCATCCTGGCTAGACCAAACCCATTGCTTTATACGCTGTTAGCCTGTTGATGCACACAAAGACATATGTACTGTGAAATATACATATTTTAACATATATATAAATGTTTCAGGCTATACATATAGCTTTTTAAAGATTTATTTCTTTATTTAAAATCGGAGTTACAGGGAGATGGAGAGACAGAAAAAGATCCTCCACTCACTGGTTCACTCCCCAGATGACAACGGCTAGGGCAAGAAGTCAAAGGCCAGGAACTTCATCCAGGTTTCACACATATATGAAAGGATCCAAACATGTGGGCCCTCTTCCGCTGCTTTTCTAGTTGCTTTAGCAAGGAGCCAGATTGGAAGTAGAGCAGTGGGATATAAAGTGATGCCTATGAGATGCCCACAATGCAGGAAGCAACCTTTTCCCACTGTGCCATTATGATGGTGCCAATGATGATCCCAATATATATCATATAGGATGACCAAATACATCGTAAGAAGTAAAAAGTAGGGACATGGCATGACAACCTAGTGCCTAAGTCCTTGCCTTGCATGCACTGCGATACCACATGGGTGCCTGTTCATGTTCTGGCTGCTCTACTTCCCATCCAGCTCCCTGCCTGTGGCAGGAAAGCAGTATAGGAAGATCCAAAGCCGTAGAACCTTACACTTGCATGGAAGACCTGGAAGAAGCTCCTGGCTCCTGGCTTCAGATCAGCTCAAGCTCCAGCCATTGTGGCCACTTATAGAGTGAACCAGTGGATAGAAGACCTTTCTCTCTGTCTCTCCATCTCTATGTAAATCTGACTTTCCAATAAAAAAAAAATTTTTTAAACCAAAAAGATGTAAGAAGTAACAACATACTGTATATTGCTCTAGAAGGAGTGCTACATGTCTTGGGCCAGATTCTGAGGCAATGGTTAAGTACCCAATAAGGTATCCAGAAATGTCATGGGTTTAATTGTGCTCCTGTGTGTAAACTGTCAAAGGCCCTCTCACCAAGACATTGTCAGTGACATTAATTCTCAAGCTCACATCGGTTGCAAAAACCATCTCACAGGGGCAAAAAACAATGCCACAACAAGTTACAGAATTCTTAGTGGGGTGCTTGAGCGTCCATGCAAACGGGGTGAAACCACATCGAGGTGGCCAGAGAGACATCTGCTGGGCCCTGCCAAACAGGTGGAAGCTCCCTGGGCCCTACCAAGCAGGGGTGCTGTTCTCTTCACACCTTCGTGTCATCCACACCTCCTGCAAGGACCCCAGCATACCTCATCTAAAAAACAGCAGTTACAAGAAAATTCAGATGAATTACCTGACAACAAATTCCACAAATTTGACAGATGAACTCAATGTAGAAAGTGAGGTTGAATCTCTCAATTCAGCAGATTACAGCAGCAACAGAGAAGAACATGAACTTTCAGATGAAGACAGTGAGGTCTACTTAGTGTACTAGGAAGGGGTGGGTGATACAGATTCATTTGGAAACTCTAAAAATCTTCTTGGCTGATTATTGTGAATGAATACAATAAAATGAATTCTACCTTTAACCACACTGCAATAGAGGTAGGTTTCATAAAGATAAAGGAGAAATTCTTGAGAAAGTCAAAATAGAAAACAGAGAAAAATTTTTGATGCTCCTGATTCTAAAAGCAAATTACAGCAAATGATTCCAAAGAGCCAAGTGTTACACAATGATAAAAATCAAGCAAGCCTCCCAGTCGCAAGCAATAATTAGTCTCAGCCATTAACTTATTTAAAAAAAATATTTGGGGCCCAGTGGCAGGGTTTAGTGGCTAAGGTTCTTGCCTTGAACGCACCGGGATCCCATATGGGTGCCGGTTCTACTCCCGGAAGCTCCACTTCCCATCCAGCTCCCTGCTTGTGGCCTGGGAAACAGATGAGGATGGGCCAATGCTTTGGGACCCTGCACCTGTGTGGGAGACCCAGAAGGAAGTTTCTGGCTCCTGGCTTCGGATCAGCGCAGCACTGGCTGTTGCGCTCACTTGGGGAGTGAATCATCGGATGGAAGATCTTCCTCTCTTTCTCTCCTCCTCTCTGTATATCTGACTTTGTAATAAAAATAAATAAAATATTTAATATAATATATAATATATAGAGATATCATGTGAATCTTACTATGTTAATCAGTATTACTTCATACTTGTACCTAATGTAACAAGAACTTGTGATGTAATTCATTAGTTAATCATCCGTAAGAGGTAGATTGTTTATAACCACCTGAGATAGTCAGTGTCTCCATATAACTGTTACTGGTACAGCCCATCAACAACAAAGGCCTAATCTTCACTGTACCTACATCAGGGCCCCGTTAGGGCCCCAGGATACAAGAATTAACCTCCAACGAAAAGTTATTTTCCTACATGGCTGGGAGACACTCCAGTGGAAGCATGATGGACACACATTATGAACCTAGAGGGGAGAACAGAGGGAAGGGGAGGGAATTTAGGGGAAGAGAAGGGAAGAGGCCTCTGCCAACTAAACTGTATAAAAAAAAAACAATATTGAGGAAAAAAAGAAGTTAATGGTTGGGTCCATGTTTGTGGCACACAGAGCAAAGCAACCGTCTGCATGGCCAGCATCCCATATCAAAGTGCAGGTTCAAGTCCTGGCTGCTGTGCTTCTGATCCAGCATTTGCAAGATTTTCCAGTACTACATTAAGTAGCAGTGGTGATAGTAGATAGCCTTGTCTGGTTCCAGATCTTGGTGTAAAGGTTTCCAATCTTCCCCATTCAACCTAATGTTGGCCTTGGGTTTTTCATATATTGCTTTAATTATGGTCTGCATTGTTCCTTCTATGCCTACTTTATTTAGTGTTTTTAACACGAAGTGGTGTTGGATTTTGTCAAAAGCTTTTTCTGTGTCTATTGAGACTATCGTATAATTTCTGT